CTCTGTCAAAGAGTCGGTGTCGGGTAAAAGATAAGCTGAGCGTTGTACTACCAATTCCTTCAGGCCAGTTCCAGCTCCATGAGGCTCCACCGCCTTTATATATGAACTGTTGTCTGAATATTCTTACCTTTCCCAAATGCATCATTGTGGTGTAGGTGAGATTTAGCGCTCTCGCATAGAGCTGCATCGCAGGATTACCATTGCCATGATTAGCGCACCCGCATGTCTCAGCCCTCGCGCCCACATCATACCTTGCTACCCGGCAAGCGAGCTGCACACGTCTCTATGAGGTCTGTTCGCTGCATGCTGCATACTGTCTGCGGCCATGTCAACGGTTGCAGCTATCTTGATCCCTGACACCACGTTTTCCAGGTGTGAAGGTGTGGTGTGAGTGGTCAGCAGGGAAGCTAATGCAGGTGGTGGACGGCTGTGCGAGAGAAAATACGTCTTGGTAGCGGTGCAGATGCAGCATCCAATGAACAAATGATGTGTCAGCCGCATTGTGCTGACAGAAGACTCTGATACTGAACGACATCGCAGCGCTTTCTTGAAGAAACGAGTGCCAAGGTGAACGGCTGATGCTGGCTACCGGACGAACGGTAGTTGAGGTCGCTGCATGCATTTTCTCAAGAGCTCTGCGTGTGTCCAATGACGCAGGACCGACCCTGCTCTCGATATGGTGAGCGCAGTCGTATGATAGACGTCGCACATGTATAGTAATACAGCAACATATTCTAGCACACGAGAGGAAGTTGGGAACATTCATTCATCTGGATCGAAGATGATACAGAGATCCATCGTGCCTTCCAATGACGACGTACATAAGACTAGCGTGCTGCTGGCCGAGATGGGTAAGCGCTGCCTGCAGCTCAAAATAACTCTCCACCTCAGTGGCCAGCACACCCTCCTCTCGCTGCACCTTTCGATCCTGCTCCTATAAACGTCTTTCTACGTATCCTTGACAGCTTCTGCATGTTTCTTCTATGACGGTGAGCCCACGTGTGCCTGCTATCCACTCATGACTATTCATTTGTCGGCTGTGCACCGGGTGGAGCACCTCCGTTGCTATATGCAGGTCGCGATACTGTTCCGTGGATCAGATAACCTGAATAGGATGGCATTAATTCTCTAGCCAGGAACGATAAGAGGCTGTTAGGTGCGGCTCTGCGAAACAAGCTCGAAGAATCAAGGACCATCCTTGGTGCTTGTGGTACCTGAACCTAGAGGTAAGCATGGCACGAACAAGTGTTTAATCCGCGTACACTAGCTGGAGGGGAGTCGAAAGCTTACAGTAGAAATGAGAGTATGTTAATAGTATTAAACCCTTTCTAACATCCACAGCAATGAGCACTCATTATGGCGGTATTGACTAGCCGTAACAGCGACATACCCTCATCTGCGATAACCTCGCGATCTGATCGATCACCATCTTCTGCAAACTACTACATTGAGCCCACCACATCCACAACTAAACCGAATCCATTTCAAACCGCACCCTCCCAGGCTACCCAAAGCCCATTTCGTCCACGCGGCATGCAGCTACCGAACATGTAAGCGAAACCCCTCCCGCTATTCGCTCGCTCAAAACCCACCCACCCGTAAGCTCTGGTGTTGGCGACAATTCTCATTCGAGACGACCTATCCAACCCCCTGCCCACCAGGTAAAAGCACGCGACACAGCCTCCACATGCACATGCACGCCGCAACCGCCAAACCCATGCGGGTTGAAAACGTGGTCAGCCAGGTTACTATCTTCACGGCTGACGGCCCAATTCGATATTCGCTAATCTCATTGCCATGGCCATGTGCGCGGTTCCACGCGGCCGGGTACCGGTGAAGCAGGAAAGGTGGACATGCTGTAGCGAAGAGAAATGGACAATAGGGATGCTTCAGATGTGACGGTGTCAAAAAAGACAAGATGCGAGGGGTAGACACGTGGGAAAAATGTAGTATTGCGGCTCTGTGGTTTCCAGAGATCAGCCGATCTCAACGCCTGACGCTCCAGCGCAGCCTTATGCAAGTTGAATCAATAACACCAGACCGCGAGTATGGTCCTGGTAAACACCCTTACGCCATAACATACCCAGTTATGCATGAACAAACAATGCCGAAAGACTGGCTACAAGTAGTTCCCACCCGAATATGCCAGTCCTGCGCCATCAAACATCATGATCGTTTCCAACAGTGGACTGCGCCTTCAACTAAGAGACCGCCTCTTTCATCGCTTCATCAGTGGACGTCTTTTGAGCCGCGGTCGATTCTAGCCGAGAAATCTACTCTTCAGCTTCTGTGTTCCAAATCTCCACCTCCCTGTTTTCCAACTCCTTCATCTTCTCTTCCCCGAATATGGTCTCGGTCGGCAACCCTGTCTTGCCATAGTTCACAACAGGACCAATAGTATTGATCCATTGCTGTCTCCTCTCCATCAGAGTGCGTATTGGCTCGCCGACGCCCGGTCTCGAAATGCCAGCGTTGGCCACAGGATGGCTTCCGCCTCCCGCACCACCAGGCCGCTTGTTTTGTTTCTTGCCCTTGCCTATATTGCGGTTGCGCTTAAGGTATGCGGCGTTGAGTTGGTTGTCAAGATCGTCAGCTATAGTGTTGTACTCTTGCTGGGCTATGCGCTCCTCGGTGAGTTCGAGGAGGCGCTGTTTCCGTGCGCCGTTGATGATGGACTGCTTGCGGAGTTCTTCTTGCAGGAATCGTAGCCGTTGAGCTACTTCGTCGTCAAAGTGGGAATCGTACGATTGCGCTTCGGCGTCTGCTTCCGAGATTAGGCCAAAGTGTTTGAGTTCCATCAGCACGCGGTCTTCTATGCCAACGTAGTCGGTGCGATTGGTTTGTTGCGGAGGTTTCCAACTGGGCTGGACAAGTTCGGGAAGTTGGGCGGCGGCGGGTATCGAGTTGTTGTTGGTGACATCTGCTGGTGCACCTGCACCTTCGTCAATGTCCATGGCGTCTCCATTGATTCCATTCGTCTCGTGTTGGGAGTTCTGATTGCCGCGGCCCTCGGGACGTAATGTGGCTAGCAGGCGCGACAGGAGAGGACCGGTAGACACCTGGTCGGTCTCAAGCACGTCGTCTGTTATGTCTTCGGCTGCCCCGCGCGGGACGTTGGGCGGCGGTCGCTGGTCGTTGGAGTCTATGTGCATAGAACCATCCTCTTCAGCCCAGATCTCCTTGTAATGCCGCGGGCCCCGCCTAGGAAGCACAAAGGGCGCTACTCGGTCGCCACGCTCTTTCAGGAAAGCAACATCTTCCTCGGTAAGTGGTCGTATGTATGGTTCAACGTAGTTGGCGAAGACAGTGGCATTCACCTGCGACGGGGGCTTGGCGTTGGAGAAGTCCTTTGCTGGTGGTGACCCGGCTATCCTGTCCCGGAGATTGGACTTGGGAAAGTCGGCGACGCAGTAAATCTCCTTCCTTTCCTCGATCGACATGCCCGGGGTGACTTCGCGTATATGGTATATGGTGGGGTCATCGAATTTGGCGGGGTCTGGGCCAAAGGTTTGGAACTGTGGTACGGCGGGCGCGGGCGCCGGTTGGTGGGAGACATCGGAGCCGCTGGGTGAGGGAGCATCGGCTGGCCCGCCGCCGGCAGCAGAGGGCGGGGCTTGGGATATCGGCGATGAGATGGCGGAGGAGTTTTCTGTGCGTGAAGTCAGATGTCTGTCGAGTCCTCTGATCTTGAGCTTGACGATCAACTGTCGGCGTCTAGGAGCCATGTTGAAGAATGTGTAATGTAGTGCATGTGGAGAGTGATTGCATGGGTACAAGTAGAGTCGCAGAGAAGAGTGATTGCCCAGTGTTTGTTGACTTACCTTTGGCGTCACCACCGTCCTGCCTGGCCAGGCCATGGGCACCAGTCGCAGGCGGGTGCTTTCCGTCCTCGTCGTGCTTCTTGCTCACCTTCTTGAGCTTGTGTTTGCGCTCCTCGCCGTCCTTTTCCCTGTCTCTTTCGCGCGGCGCGCGGTTCTTCTTGTTGTTCATGAGTTCCCTCAGCGCACCTTCGGACTGCACGCAGCGTGATTCGACGTTCTTCAGGACATTCTTCTCGATGTTATCGCGCATAAGAAAGAGCTGCTTGCCGGACGGGATCGACGAGCCGCTGGTACCGCCGTCCAGAATATCCTCGACGGTAGTAGGGCACTTCTTAAGATATGAGCTCAGGCGATTCCCAAAGTACGATGACGACGCGGCAGGCTCGACCGAGGCGCGCACATTGGGGAGCGGCGTTGTGTTCCGGCTGCGCGGTGGCTGCGAGGGCTTGGAGCCCGGCTTGGTCGCCTTTCCCTTGCTACCCAGGCCTGGGGGCGCCATACTGGACGTGTCGCCGTGGGTTGTCGGGGTATGCGGGGAAGGAAGTCGCGTCGGCGCACGGCAGACGCGAGGCGGTGGCGGAAGTCTGGAGGCTACCGGCGTGCTATCATGGGCGCTCTACGGGCGACGGGCGTGCATCAATGGGGTTCGTAGCAGGCGTCGGCGGTGGTGGCATGGCCGTCGCGGGCATGCATGGTGTTGGCAGGCCTGGAGGTCCGGGGCGTGCTAGCCTCAGGACACGCCAAGTCGCGAAAGCCCATGGGCGCTGCGATAAGATGGATCGTGTCGGCGGCCCAACGTCATTAGCGACGCCTCAGCACTATTCATGCACAACGGCATCGTCTGTAATTGCCCGAGAGGCCTGTGTGCATGCTGTGCGGTGTCTCTTGACGCAATCTCCTGTTCGCGCCAGTGAATCAAGCTTTGGCTAACGTGCTGCCCGGGGCTGTCGAATCCCATCCGGGAGGGGGCGGCTGCGTGTTGCTTCCGACCAGCCTCAATGCTAGCCACCCGCTGCCAGCTCCACCACCATCATCGCCGCCTCTTAGCAGACTGCCTCCCTGCGCTCGCTCGACACCCGCTCTACCAGCAATGCATTGTAGTCGGCCTGTACTAGCGGCCTCTGTGTAACCCTCGTCCAGTGCGCGCTGTCATCTGTAGCCACTCGCAGTCGCTCCAACATGTGTACGTCACACAGGCTTGCCGCCCGTTCGCCTCTGGCACCCACGCTGACCCTCCTATAGCTGCCCAGCGGATTGGCATTTTTACCATCGACTTCCCGGATCCGCTCGTGATCGACTACGATAACAACCAGTTCATCACCCTGAACGACTCCGTCTCGTTCCAGTATCGCATCCTCAACAACATCCAGACCCTGTCCACCAAGGGCGTCGACAGCAACCAGGACCCATACGGCATTCTCTACGTCCCCGATGTCAGCACAAACAGCTGTAGGGAACAAGAACGACTTCACGTGCCCGAGAATGCGACGCGGATAGCGAACCTGCCCACCGACAAGGACTACGCCCTCATCGCCGTTGCGCCCTGGTTCTCCGCGCAATGTACGACGGAGTACTTCGCCGCCGCGCGCAACCTTCCCACCAAGGCCTTCCTCACATATCAGCCAGGCGACACCAACGCCAAGCCCCCAGTGCTGAACGATGCGTCGTGGAACCTTGAGGATGGCGGTAGTTGGCAGACGGCTAACGACTTTCCCACCTACGCCCTGTCGTCAATAACGGGCAACAATATCATGGATCAGCTGAACGAGTACTCTGGAAATCTCAGCTCAGTGCCCCATGCCGACGAACTATCACAGATCTACAACTCGTCCGACTATGTGCGGCTATGGGCAACCGTCAGTACTGGTGAGTACAGCCTGCTCACATCTATGAACGGCACTAACCTCGCTGCTCAGACTCCGGTGGTCAGCTTCCAAGTCTATGGGTCTTCCTCGTCATCGTACTAGCAATCCTCCTCGTCGCTGTCAGCATCACCTCCCTCATCATGCATATCATCCAACGGAGACGGCGCAACGATCTCCGCGAGCGCGTTCTCAACGGCCAGGTTGACCTCGAAGCGTTGGGCGTCAAGCGCCTCACAGTCTCGCAACAAGTCCTTGACAAACTTCCCATACATACCTACACTGCTCCTGCCACTGCGAGTGAGCCCGAGAAAGCGACCACACTCCAACCGCCGAATCAAACACTGGGAATGCTACATGCCGCTGTAGATGCGGAAACTGGACACAAGGGGGCTCCGTTATCCCGTCGCTCATCTGCGCCCACAGTGCCTACATCTGGCGTGTCGGCTGCGTGGTCTCAGCCTACATGTCCAATTTGCATGGATGATTTCGAGACCAACGAGACTCAAGTGCGCGAGCTTCCATGCCACCACATTTTCCACCCCGAATGTATCGATACCTTCCTCCTCAGTCACTCCTCGCTGTGTCCTATGTGCAAGCAGACTGTATTGCCTGCCGGCGCTTGTCCGGTCAAAATAACCAATGTCATGGTACGGCGAGAGCGCCATATCAATCGCATGCGGGCGCGCAGTGCACATACAGCGAGCGCCCAACCAAGCTCTGCATCCACGGCACCAGCACTGCCAACTCGACCGCCGGTGGCTTTTGGGTCGCTTGGTAGCAGGATAGGCGGTGCCATATCTGGGCGGCGCATCTTCAGTGCGCCTGTGCGCACGCAATCACGACCACACGATATTGAAATGGCAACCACACCGCCACCAGATGCCCCAACGCATCACCAATCGACCAACGCACCACCTTCACAAACCACGCAAGACTGCAGTCCCACACAAAACAGACGGGAATGGGCACGGCAACGAGCATTGGCTATGCTTGGTCCGCGTCATGCACCGGCTAGTGATGTGGAAGAAGAAGAGAGCATTCCGAGGTGGCGGCGGGTGTTCCGCAAGGTCTTTCCAAGTTAATAAGCGATTTCCTTCATCACGATACCTCAGCATAGTTTCGGCGCAACACTCTCATTAACGTAATGTATTACAAAGGCGTTCAGTATCACGGGAGCGCGTCTGGATTTGGAAAGGGAGATACCAGGGCTACATAGGATACGGCCATCGCGTACAAATATTGAATTGTATTATCTTTGAATTTGCTATCTCATACTTTGAGCCTGTCGGTTCCCGGCTGTGCGGGCTTAGCTGCTTTTGCCATGTCGTGACTTCCCAACCTATTTATCCAGATCACACATCCAACAACAGCAGCTACCCGACTCCTTATCTCCACGCCTCCCTGTCGGAATCCTATACTCGACCACAGTGCGCTAGCACAAACATTATGCATCTTTCAGCTCGGGGACAGTCGCGCAAATCACACTGGGACGAACAACGAGCACCGCTGATATTGCCATTGATGAACGACACGAACGCTAGAAGAAAAGCTCTCTCCGATTTCCGCACTACCGTTTTGCTGGCTGCAGAAAGTCTTTTGATCCTACTAGCTCGCTAGAGCTCTCAAACTCTCCCAGGAAGTCCAGCCCATAATCAGCCGTCGCACGTCTGGTTCGTGACCTCGACCGGGTCCATCAATCTAATATATACAACATTCGCCTCTTGCATACCCGTCTTGTACTTGTCACGCTACGGTAATTTCCACAACGACTATTTTTGGATTGGCTCTCCCCCAAGCGTTTACATTTTACCCCAGGATCTGAACGTTCTAGAGCAAGATTGCCCTGCATTTGGCGGCATTGTCTCGCTTGCTTGCCGGCTGTCTCGTACGGAAGTCTACGAGCAATATCGACGGGCAGATCTCATATCTAAAGCATGGCAGCCTTACCATCTTTGTTTCCATCTCCGAGCTAGAGGTGCAAGAGGCGAATGCAAGGTCGTCTGTTGGTAGCGAGTGGCTATCTGTCGCCGTCTTACAAGAAAATGTAGCCAATTACATGTCTATGTCTGCGGACCACAAGACTGCTTGGTTTGCACAGAGAGCTTTCCGGAGTAGGTGTGGTCAAGATGTACTACTCACGTTCTAGGTCTCGTAATCGGATAATACGTTGACATATAAGGCGATCATGTCCCACAGTTACTCCAGTCTGAGTAGCAACACTACACTACCACCATTATCCCGCAGTCTACTTCTTCTTATCAGTCTGCTCTATCTTCTCGATCTACATCAGTAAACACCAACGCGATGAAGTACATATTTACCACCCTCGCCCTTGCGGCCGCCACCATCGCTGCTCCAACATACCAAGCACCAGATTCATTCAAGATCAAGAGCGTTGTGTCCGGTGGCTCAGGATGTCCTCAGGGCAGTATCGACATCAACTGGACCGAGAACGGCATCATGCCAATTTGTAAGCCGCTACCGCGTTATATTCCCTCTTGGTCTCTCTACTAACCTCACACCCAGACTTCAACAAGCAATTTACAGCGCGGGTGGGAAACGGAAACGCTGCAGAAGACTCACGAAAGAACTGCCAGATCAACCTCGGTCTCGAATTCTCCCCCGGCTTCTCCTTCGCCATCTTCAGCGCAGACTACACTGGCTGGGGTGAGCTGGACGGCGGTGTTACTGGTGTAGTAAAGTCGACATACTACTTCTCCGGTCAACAAAGCCAGTCGACGTCAGCACTGAGTATTCAAGGTCCTTTCAATGGCAAATACTTCAAGCAGGACAACGTGCCAGCTGCAGTCTGGTCACCATGTGGTAGCGATGCCGCTTTCAACATCAACAGCGAGGTCGCCTTGACACCATTTGCTACGCCGGCGAGCGGTGTGCTTGCTGCGACAAAGGAGGCTGGTCGCTTTACATCAAATCTGTACGTGCAGTGGAGAAAGTGCTAGTGGGAAATACTCGGAGTATGTGTAAAGGGGGGCCTGATGGAAATTGTAGTTGTAGATCATGCTTAGTGCCACGTAGAGAGATCAAAATTTTCTTTCTCCTTATTGCGAACGCTCATCACTCTGTCGACTGTGCTTGTGCATCTTATCAATTTTTTGCATAGCCTGTGGCTCTTGCATGTCGGTATCCACGCAGTACGCTGTGACCAGTAAGCTTCTCCACAGCATGTGCATGATGTGGCGGGTGCGGTGACACATGAACATCGCACCGCGACTACAAACCCTCAACATCAGCTTGGCTTTCAAACCCTTTCCACAACATTCTGTTCGCCCTGTTCACTATTCCGAACTCTTATCGTCTCACCGCGAGACATACAGGCGTCGTTGATCCTTAGCCCGTATCCACCCGCTTCACTAACGTGATGATCGTAAGGCAAGACAAGAAGCCGCGGCAGGAACGATAACACTGAAACTCTTGCGCGATCCACAAAGGGAACCACAAGAGTACGCGGACACAGGTTCGTCCGTTTTGTAAAGCGAGAAAGACAAAAAACTAGTCTCAAAGTCGACACGTCGAACGCTAGTCATGGCCTTGGCAGTCGCGATGTCCGTTTTCCAACGAAAGATCTAGCCACGTGAAGCGATTGTCCCGCGTTCAAGGGGAAGGAATCCACTTCTCGATACGGCAGGCACCGCAATGGACCCGGCGGGGTGCAGCGGCCTGGGCAAACACACGATGCGCAGATGGTGGGCAATTGCCGGGAGTGTTTAGTAACGACTGCGACCTGGAATCCGACCGACGTCGGGAGCTACTGAAAGACTCGGAAATCTTGGAAGACGACGATGATAGCTAGCTCATTTGTCGGTAGACGGCTCATCTAGGCGGCAGACACCCACTCGAGCTAAGCCCCAAGAATAGCGGGGAAGAATATTTTATTGGGGAAGGGATGATGCAAGCGGTAATCTGCTGTTTGTGACCCCACTTCGAAGGGTCTCAGCCAAGATGCTACAACAGGCGTACTGCCGAGGATAGGGACAGTCGCGTGGCGACTCGACTCGTTTAAGAAGTGACCTTGACCCGTTCGACTTGTCTCTGCCGATACCCAAATCAACTCTTACACCACCACTACTACCATCGCCTCAATCATGTCTCCAGGAAAAGTTTCGACTCTCGACTTTGAGACCTTCTACAACATCATCGACGGCAAGCAGCGCGGCTCAGACAACATTCACCATGGCATCAACCCCGCAACTGGCCAGCAACTCTGGGATGTACCCATTGCGAGCGAGCAGGACCTGAACGACGCTGTTGCGGCCGCGAAGAAGGCCTTCCCCGCATGGAGAGATACCCCTGTAGGTTCTGACTGTACGAAGCGCATGTGAGACACATACTGACTTTCTACCTCTGCAGATTGAGAAGAGGAAGGAGCTCCTCAACAAGGTCGCCGAGTCGTACCAACAACACACTGATGACTTTGTCAACCTGCTGTGCAAAGAGTCTGGCAAGCCGGTACGTCATAGCCGTTCTTGGGATCATTGACATCCTTGCTAACATACGAATAGAGAAAGTTTGCTGCCATTGAGGTTGGTGCCGTTGCTGGATTCATCGGTCACCACTTGACTCTCGATGTCCCTTCTGAGAAGGTTGAGGATGAGGAGAAGACCATCTACACAGAGTACTCACCTCTCGGTGTTTGCGGCGCCATCTGCCCATGGAACTTCCCTCTTGTTCTGAGCACTGGAAAGATTGCACCGGCCCTCATGACCGGAAACTGCATGATCGTCAAGCCTTCACCCTTCACACCTTACACAGCTCTGAAGTTTGTAGAGCTGGCACAGGAGATCCTCCCTGCAGGTGTCCTCCAAGTAGTCGGCGGCAACAACGAGCTCGGTGTTCAGATGTGCCTCCACCCCGACATCGCCAAGATCAGCTTCACCGGCTCCATCGCTACCGGAAAGAAGGTCATGGAGACATCTGCAAAGACCCTCAAGCGCGTCACACTCGAGCTGGGTGGCAACGATGCGTCCATCATCCTTCCTGATGTCGACATCAAGAAGACTGCACCTGAAGTCGTCATGGGTGCTTTCCAGAACAGCGGTCAAGTATGCGTCGCTACCAAGCGCATCTACATCCACGAGTCCATCTACAAGGAGTTCCTTGAGGAGATGGTCAACTTCACCAAGTCGATCAAGATCGGTAACCCAGACGATGGCGACAACCTGCTCGGACCTGTTCAGAACCAGATGCAGTACGAGCGCGTAAAGGGCTTCTTCGAGGACAGCAAGGCCAAGGGCTACAAGTTCGCCGCTGGCCAGCCCGACGTCAGCACCGGAAAGGGGTACTTCATCCAGCCAACGATCATCGACAACCCGCCCAACGACTCCCGTATCATCCAAGAAGAGCCATTCGGTCCTATCGTGCCCACCCAGCCGTGGTCCGATCTTGATGAGGTCGTCGCACGCGCTAACAACACAAACACCGGTCTCGGTGCCTGTGTTTGGGGCAAAGACGTCGAGAAGGCCTGCAAGGTAGCGCGCCGTCTCGAAGCTGGTTCAGTATTCGTAAACTCATGGGAGAAGCCAACACCTCAGGCGATATTTGGAGGCCACAAGGAATCTGGCATCGGCGGAGAATGGGGCAAGACTGGTCTTCTTGCATACTGCAACCCGCACGTCATGCACGTCTACAAGTCATAAAACTGGGCAGATAACACCCTGCATGACCACATAGATGAGCAAAGGGGATGATCACAACCCAGTCAATACAAGAATGTTTTGAAATGCTTGAAAGGCTTGAGTACCTTGACCCTGCGATGATGTGGCGGGACCCATTGAACGAAGGAACATGAAGCATTTGATAACCGGTGGCTAACATAGAAATCGTCTGTTCGCCTGGTGTTCGTACCGAAAAGGGTTTAGATGACATCTACCTCTGACAGGCTTAGCGCTTGGCGCACCCAGAGCACGGGCCCGCATGATGCTTCGTGCCTGGATGGCGGTTCTCCATTCATATCGCATGAGCGGCACCTACCCACACGCAATATCATCGTTTTGCTGTGCGCCGCATCAGCCCACTGTTCATCGACTTGTCGTTCGTCGATGTTGGACTGGAACGGCTAAAGTCGCTCGGTTCCGAGGTTCCTTTGGGCGCTGCCGTGCAATGATCTCCAGGATGCCGTTTCACGGTTTCATGAAACAATGCGCCTCATGGGAGCTAACCGCCCAAATTTGACCCACCATGGAATCGCTCCAGACGCACAATCGCGGCTGGTGGTTTGTATAAGATGGAATCGCATCCGCCGCCATACTGTTTCTTCACTCACTCGGTCATCACCATTCTCTACACACTCTCTTCATCTTCTCTTCTTTGAACCCTACTGGAAGCGTGCTTCCTGACATTCTTTTCTTGAATACCCACGTAGAAGCGAGCTTCTATCCTTTTTCCACCTACCAACCGAACACCTTTGAACCCGAACCGATCGAAAAGTAGCAATCATGCACTTCAGCACATCCTCTATCTACTTCGGTGTCGTCGCCTTGTCTTCGACTTCCGCTGTTCTCGCAGCTGCTCCCTACGGACAGTGCGGTGGTCAGGGCTTCCAGGGCGACTCTACCTGCCCCCAGGGATGGTCCTGCGTCAAGAGCAACGACTGGTACAGCCAGTGCGTTAGCGGTGGTGGAAACGGCCAGGCACCTCCTGCTGCCACTGGCGTCGCACCCGCACCCGTTGTTCCCTCCGCTGCGCCTGTGCCATCGATGAACGCCACCGAGCCCATCGCTGCCCCTGTCGCTGTTGCCCAGCCTGCTGCCACTGGCTCCGCCGGTGGTGCCAACGGCTCCACCCCCGACGTCGCTGGAAGCGGTGCCAACGGAGCCAAGTGCTCTCTCGATGCTGCCTTCAAGTCGCACGGCAAGAAGTACCTCGGTGTTGCTACCGACCAGGGTGCTCTCGGCAAGGGCAAGAACAAGGAGATCATCGTCGACAACTTCGGCCAGGTCACTCCTGAGAACAGCATGAAGTGGGATGCCACCGAGGCCACCCAGGGCAAGTTCACCCTCGACGGCGCCAACGCGCTCGTCAGCTTCGCCACCGAGAACAACAAGCTCATCCGTGGACACACCACCGTCTGGCACTCTCAGCTCCCTACCTGGGTCTCTTCCATTACCGACAAGACCAAGCTCCAGGAAGTCATGGTTGCCCACATCAAGAAGCTCATGACCACCTACGCCGGCAAGGTCTACGCCTGGGACGTAGTCAACGAGATCTTCAACGAGGACGGTTCCTTCCGCTCCTCCGTCTTCTACAACGTTCTCGGCGAGGACTTTGTTGCCACCGCTTTCGCTACCGCAAAGGCCGCCGACCCAGAGGCCAAGCTCTACATCAACGACTACAACCTCGACAGCCCCAGCTACGCCAAGACCAAGGCCATGGCCAGCAACGTCAAGAAGTGGATCGCTGCTGGTGTCCCCATTGACGGCATCGGTTCCCAGTCTCACTTGTCTGGCAGCTGGCCCATCTCTGACTACCCTGCTGCTCTCAAGCTCCTCTGTGGCTCTGCTCCCGAGTGCGCCATGACTGAGCTCGACATCAAGGGTGGATCTGCTGCTGACTACAAGACTGCCGTCACCGCCTGCTTGGACGTTGAGAACTGTGTCGGTGTTACCGTCTGGGGTGTCAGCGACACTGACTCTTGGATCGGTGCTGCTTCCACTCCTCTTCTCTTCGACGGCAGCTTCAAGGCCAAGGAGAACTACAACGGTCTCTGCACCGCTCTTGCTTAGATGCGTAGAGTGAACATGAGAGTTTCAACTAACTCTACCACCTTTCGGTAGACGTTGAGTGTTTGTTTTGTTGAGATGGGATGGTATTCTATCGTATATATATTTACTTCTTTGAGATGAGAACATCATCTTTCAATTGATCATTTGAATCGCTTCACTCTATTTCTCTATCCAGGCAACAACGTGATGATGAAATGGTGTTACATGTGCTTCATTTTCCA